TTGAGTTAAAATTAACGTAGACATATGACCGAACCTAACCAACCCAACCTAACCTAACCTAACCTATCTTTATAGGTTAGGTTAGGTTAGGTAGCCGAAAAAGTTAGGTTAGGTTAGGTTAGGTAGGTTAGGTAGTCGAAAAACAATTAATTCATGAAAACTTGGCTTATTAGGCAAATCGGGCCTTGCATAGTAGGCTGAAAAGTGAGTTCTGGCTACTAGGTACGACATATATATATATATATATATATATATATATATATATATATATATATATATATATATATATATATATATATATATATATATATGCGAACAAGCCTGAATGGTCCCCAGGACTATATGCGACTGAAAACTCACACCCCAGAAGTGACTCGAACCCATACTGCCAGGAGCAACGCAACTGGTATCTAGAGGACGCCTTAATCCGCTTGACCATCACGACCAGACATAAGGAAGTGATAGCCAATGCTATTTGAACCACTTCCCCGCCGGCACTCGGATGGTAATCTTGGGCATAGCATTTTATCAAATCACCTCATTCTTTGGGGCACACGTGAGGAACACAAATGCGAACAAGCCTGAAGTGCCGGCGGGGAAATGGTTCAAATAACTTTGGCTATCACTTCCTTATGTCCGGTCGTGATGGTCAAGCGGATTAAGGCGTCATGTAGATACCAGTTGCGTTTCTCCTGGGAGTATGGGTTCGAGTCACTTCTGGGGTGTGAGTTTTCAGTCATATATATATATATATATATATATATATATATATATATATATATATATATATATATATATGTCGTACCTAGTAGCCAGAACTCACTTCTGAGCCTAATATGCAAGGCCCGATTTGCCTAATAAGCCAAGTTTTCATGAATTAATTGCTTTTCGACTACCTAACCTACCTAACCTAACCTAACCTAACTTTTTCGGCTACCTAACCGAACCTAACCTATAAAGATAGGTTAGGTTAGGTTAGGTAGGGTTGGTTAGGTTCGGTCATATTTCTACGTTAATTTTAACTCCATTAAAAAAAAATTGACCTCTTACATAATGAAATGGGTTGCTTTATCATTTCATAAGAAAAAAATTATAGAAAATATATTAATTCATGAAAACTTGGCTTATTAGGCAAATCGGGCCTTGCATTGTAGGCTGAAAAGTGAGTTCTGGCTACTAGGTACGACATATATATATATATATATATATATATATATATATATATATATATATATATATATATATATATATATATATATATGTCGTACCTAGTAGCCAGAACTCACTTCTCAGCCTACTACGCAATGCCCGATTTGCCTAATAAGCCTAGTTTTCATGAATTAATGTTTTTTAGACTACCTAACCTACCTAACCTAACCTAACCTAACGTTTTCGGCTACCTAACCTAACCTAACCTATAAAGATAGGTTAGGTTAGGTTAGGTAGGGTTGGTTAGGTTCGGTCATATATCTACGTTAATTTTAACTCTAATAAAAAAAATTGACCTCATACATAATGAAATGGGTAGCTTTATCATTTAATAAGAAAAAAATTAGAGAAAATATATTAATTCAGTAAAACTTGGCTTATTAGGCAAATCGGGCCCTGCATAGTAGGCTGAGAAGTGAGTTCTGGCTACTAGGTACGACATATATATATATATATATATATATATATGCACAACTTGCCTAAACACACAAGAGAGATTATATAATAATAATAATAATAATAATCTATAATGTATAATAATCTCTATAATGTATAGAGATTATTCTATGCATTATAGAATAAGGTCATATTTAGCAGTCTGAGCTGTGGGGCAGTGGGTTAAAGGCGTACCAGTTATGCCAGTTGCTGTAAGGCTTCTGTGCTGGCTAGGGTTCGAATCTCCTGGTGGGAAAGTGTTCTAATGTTGTAATATATATATATATATATATATATATATATATATATATATATATATATATATATATATATATATATATATGTGTGTGTCGTACCTAGTAGCCAGAACGCACTTCTCAGCCTACTATGCAAGGCCCGATTTGCCTAATAAGCCAAGTTGTCATGAATTAATATATTTTCACTAATTTTTTTCTTACGAAATGATAAAGCTACCCATTTCTTTATGTATGAGGTCAATTTTTTTTATTGGAGTTAAAATTAACGTAGATATATGACCGAACCTAACCAACCCTACCTAACCTAACCTAACCTATCTTTATAGGTTAGGTTAGGTTAGGTAAAAGAAAAAGTTAGGTTAGGTTAGGTTAGGTAGTCGAAAAAACATTAATTCATGAAAACTTGGCTTATTAGGCAAATCGGGCCTTGCATAGTAGGCTGAGAAGTGCGTTCTGGCTACTAGGTACGACATATATATATATATATATATATATATATATATATATATATATATATATATATATATATATATATATATATATATATATATATATATATATAAGAGTTCTTACATTCTTGTAAAGCTACTAGCAAGCATAGCGTTCGAACAGGTCCATAAAACTAATTTCCCCTGCAATACGACCCGCCAAATCGTTAAACATCCAGGTACCCATTCACTGCTGGGCAAACAAAAGGTACAGGAAAGTATTAACACCTAGTCAACCCTCCCCGGCCAGGATGCAAACCCAAGTCAAATCGCTCGCAAAATGCCGGGCGAGTGCTTTACCACTGCGCCACGGGAATTGCTTTTAAAAGGAGCAGGTTTCAATAATGATATTGAAACCTAACAAAGCGAGCTACATGAACTCAACAAATAGTCAGAAGAGAGGCAAATGCGTTTTAATATTGACAAATGCACGACCATGAACGTGGGGCATAACAACCCACGTCACAACTACTAAATGAATAATATAACATTTCAGCAGATTGATGAAGAAAAGTATCTTGGAGTCAAAATCCACCACTCACTGAAAGTTGCACAACAGGTAGGAGCAGCTGTCTTTAAGGAACTTTACTTTGACTTTAAGGAAACGAAGATAGTGATTCAATTGTAAAAATCTCTGGTGCGCCCCGATCTGGATTACTGTATCCAAGCATCGAAGCCACATCTTCAAAAGGACATTGGAGAAAGTGCAACACCGGGCAACAAAAAACATTCCAGAGCCAAGTCAACTCTCGTATCAGCAACGGTTGAGGCCCACAGAGCGAACAACACTACAAACCAGGCCTGACAGGGCGGACCTCATTGAAACTTATAAATTACTCAACAATTTGGATGTTGATTCGGACAATTTCTTCATAAGGTCAGATGTAACACAAACAAGGAGCAACGGTTTCAAGCTCAACAAACCTGAAAACAGGAGATGCTTTTTCACCCTCAGGGTTATAAACCCATGGACCCACCTAAACGCCGAAGCCATATATGCCAAAACTCTGTTGAATTTTAAAGTCCAACTGGAAAAAATCATCACAACAAATGGGGGAGCCTTCGACAAGCCGCCGGCTTCCTGTCCTCGTCGAGGCCACTAGTGTTAGTGGCCCTCAGGTAAATCAGGTAAATAGTGACAGAAGGAGTACGAATAATTTAGTTGACAAAGTTTACATTTGGTCAGGTCAACATCAGCAGATAATGAAAATTTCCAGAGATACTTATAGCCGAGTCTAAGCCGAGCAGTAGTAACATCTAGGAGGCTGCTGATTTTATAGAATGATTCATAGATGTGTGACTCTTCTTGCATGACCAGTATGATGATGGATGAAATTACTGGTGTCGATTTCACTTTGCCTCAGATCTACAAGGTTTTGTTGAAGTTCCTGGTGTATTATTGCCCACAGACTGCTTATAAGCAATCAAAGGTTATAATCAACTCTTTCTTTGAAGGCTGATTCTTTGCTGTTTGGTCAGACACTCGTTCACATATGGGGTCTGTTTTTTGCTTTGCAGGTCTTTGAATACGGTCATATTTAACAACGGGATATGTTGAGTTTAATGAGCATTGGGGTGGCGATTGTTTTTATCTATCTTGACAGCTGATTTGATATCAAGGTATCAGTGCACTCTGGTTAATGGTCCAGTAGTTTACCTCCAACGCTTCTCGTCACATGCATAATTAAATCACATTAACGTGGTGTATCGATGAGAAAATCAGCAGGAGCCATGAAGAGGTTCGAACCCGCTCACGTTGTACTCCCAGCTAGTGTCCTAGACCTTGTAGGGGTCTAGGGCAGTTATATACATACTAATGAAGCCACTATTACGCAAAGCGATTCGGGCAAAACGCTTTATTTCAATTATTATTATTAATAATCATTTCGGGTATTATTATTATAAAAGGGTCCCGGTCGTACAGTCCGGTTCGTTCAGTAATCATGACTCATGATCAAGAATTCCGGGTTCGAATCCCGGGCGGGACAGAAATGGTTAGGCGTATTTCCTATCACCTAATACCCTAGTCCACCTATCAGTAATAATTCCAAGTAGGTACCCATGGAACTAGTCAGCTTGTGGGGGTATCATCCGGGGGGAGGTCAGTAATTCAACTTTGTGTGGACCTCGATATACGTCTAAATTGTATATATACACTATGGCTGCCTGTCCCCCGACACCATGAATTAATAATAATAATAATAATAATGTAATGTAGATCAGATATAGCACGAACTAGGAGCAACAGTTTCAAGCTGAAAAAGCCACAATGTTGGACTGAGAACAGATGCTTTTTCACCCACAGGGTTATTAACCAATGGAACCGCCTACCCGCCGAAGTTGTATATGCCAAAACTCTGTGGGATTTCAAAATACAACTGGAAAAGATCATCAGGGCAAATGGAGGACCTTTGATAAGACGCCAGCTTCCTGTCCCTCAGGTAAATTCAGGTAAATATTTGCTCATACGGGCTTTTATTATTTTCCTTTCATCTCTTAAATACAGAAAGTATATTGAAGCGGTAGTTCTAAAATAATTTAATTCATTATTAGTGGCCACTGAAAAACGTTAATAACTGCCAATAAATATTTTTTTCGGGATGGACACACTGCTACCATGAAGTAGCTTCGTATCCCTCTATAGTAAACATGGCTGGACTCCTGGCGCGGGCAGTACTACCAATCTTTCACGATTTGGGTATGTTAACAGTACAACGTCTCGGTATTAGATGCTATACATAACTGTTGTGTGTTCGTGACAGCGCAAAAATAGCAAATTATAGTTAACTGTTGCTTCTCCCGAGGAAGATACCGGCCCAGTGGAGCAAGTGGGAGTTGTTGTTGTTATAGATTCAGCTACTCTGAGCAAGTTCCAAGTAGCACGGGCTATGGTGAGCCCGTAGTGGACTTACCTGGCACAGGAGCGGTGCTGAGTGGCAAGTGGGAGGGTGGCTGCCAGCTACACAATACCAGCCCCCAGGGGGCCCTTAAGAATGGATACAAGACACTCTGTACACTGACAACATCGCACACTAATACTTTTACCACTTCGGACACCAGCTTTGGACGTTTCGCATAGGTGTACGTGTTCCATATTATTCAATTTCATTATTATGCACCCCATACCCATCCCGTGGGCGGTGGTGTAAAGGATTACAGAGGCACATAATCGGTTCAGGAACTGAATCCTCTAGTTCGTTTAGCTAAGCAAATAACAATTTTGACGCTAGTTACAAAATTATTAATGTTATATATACATGTACACATTCTCATACATACATGTACATATATATATATATATATATATATATATATATAAACATATATACATACACATACATATTTAATCAACCACACAAATACACACATCAATAATCATTTTGTGTCACAAGTGATTCATCAAGAGGCTCACAACAGTCCCTATACAAAGCACTTTAAAACACACAACACTTTTGTCAGTTTTTGGATAAACTCCTTTTACATTTATTATGTGATAGATATACTTGTATATAATAATAACTATTATAGGTAAGTGCCTAATATGTAATATTAATCAATAAAAAAGAAGTCAGAAGCCACGCGCCTGTCTGTACATGTCTTTTGTGTAAAAGTATTTTGGGCGCTCATGTACTTGTGCGCTAGCTGGCGTTCACACCTGTTCTCGCCTTCAAGCATTAGAATTAAATAAAAGAATTTAGTTATTCATTTATGTACAAGAAGATACATTTTCTTGAGAGAGTACATAACATTAGTGATCTTACATTCTTTTTAAGCTAACTCGCAAAGGCTTTCAGGCATTTCTAGGTCTGCCCAAAACCTGCCCATTTATCTTTACCATTTTTTAATAATAATATTCATAGTTATTTATTTACAAGATGGTAGAATGGGTTTGTGAGATTACATATTGGTATTTGTACATTTTTTGCAAAAGTCACTAACATGCATAGTGTTTTGGGTGAAATTGCATATCATAAATACTAAAAAATTAAATACTCATAAATAAAAAATAAAATGTTATTATAAATAAATACTAGATATTTACATATTACGAATTATAATCTGAAAATATATACATATAACAATGTATAATACAAAGGAAAAATCAAACAGGAAATTACTTGAGCACTTTCGTGATAATCAACACGTAATAATGTACTTTGGTTGATGTGTTGATTAACGTGGAAGTGTTTGAGTAATTTCCTGTTTTAATTTTCCTTCATGGTTACACATTGTCTTCAACTCTACATTGTCATACTATTCATTACGTGTTAATTTTTTTGTGAAGCCTGTGAGGAGCGGGTATTATTCAATTTTTTTCTTTATTATGCACCCCATACCCATCCCGTGGGCGGTGGTGTAAAGGATTACAGAGGCACATAACCGGTTCAGGAACTGAACCCTCTAGTTCGTTTAGCTAAGCAAATAACAATCTTTTGATGCTAGTTACACAATTATTAATGTTATATATACATGTACACATACTCATGCATACATGTACGCATACATACGTATACATATATACATACACATACATATTTAATCACCCACACAAATACACACATCAATAATCTTTTGTGTCACAAGTGATTCAACAAGAGGCTCACAACAGTCACTATACAACGCACTTTACATCTATGGTGAGTCACACAGTCACTAGTCTTTTGCACACCCACCCAACTGGGCGGCAGCTTTACAGTCATGTGCATGCATTACTTACAGTAAGCAAATTTTGGATACTTCGCTAAGATTTCGGGCAGCACATCATTATAAATGAAGTACTTGCACATTTCTTGGACACTACTGATGGTGTTATCTCTAAATTCCGCAATTTTTTCACATTCCATTATATAATGACGCAAAGTATGCGAATAGTTCTGCTGACAGAACTTACATTTAGTCAAATCTACATCAGCAGATGTTACAAATTCCTAGAGGTACTTGTACCCGAGTGTCACAGAAAAGCCATTATGTCACTATCTTCTGGAATGTGAAGCAACGACCTTAGAAGAGCTTTAAGAGTCCCTGAATCTTGCCGTGGCCACCCTGAAGCATTCAACACAGCCACTCTCCTGGTCAAAAAAGGTGTCCAGCAGCTGGACACCCTCATAAAGACTGTCAAGAAGTATCCTCCCCCGCGATAACAGCTTGACGATTAAATGCAACCTCAGAATACTGAAAAAAATTACTGAATAAAAAATTGTACCACTTACGGGCTATTCATGCCCGTGCCACCTCTTGGGTGGTTTAATCTTTATCAATCAATCTGTAGCTGAGCCTAAGCCTAGCAGTGGTAACATCTAGACGTCAGCTAACCTTATTCCTGTTTATAACCTTATTCCTATCCTGTTTCTGATATACGTAAATGATCTCCCAGAGGGTATAGACTCATTCCTCTTAATGTTTGCTGACGACGCCAAAATTATGAGAAGGATTAAGACAGAGGAGGACAGCTTGAGGCTTCAAGAAGACCTGAATAAGCTGCAGGAATGGTCGAACAAATGGCTGTTAGAGTTTAACCCAAGCAAATGTAATGTAATGAAGATAGGGGTAGGAAGCAGGAGACCAGATACAGTGGTACCTCGGAATGCGAGTGTCCCTGTATGCGAGTTTTTCGGAAGACGAGCAGTATTTACTCCAAAAATTTGTCTCGGAAGGCGAGGGTTACCTCGGGACGCGAGTTTGTTGATACGGGTACAGGCCGACCTAGCGCGTGGTGGTTCGGCGATCGTCGCCCCTCTGCCCCGCCACCCCTCAGTTTACCATTGTCTCGCGCTCAGTGACTACCCCCACATCAATTCTTCTCGCGGATTTTCAGTGTTTTGTTGGATTTTTGGTGATTTGTCTATACAATTTGTTATTATATATCTCACCATGGGTCCCAAGAAAGCCAGTGGTAAGGATAAAGGCCAGAAAGCTCATGTGAGGATGACAATAGAGGAGAAACAAGAGATCATTCGGAAGCATGAGAACGGTACACGTGTTGTTGAACTTTGTAGGCAGTACAACAAAGCCACATCAACAATATGCACTATACTTAAGAAGAAAAATGAGATTATGGGTGCTAAAGTGGCAAAAGGAGTAAGAACATTAACGGCACAAAGACCACAAATACTTGAAGAAGTGGAAAAGTTGTTATTAATTTGGATACACGACAAGGAGTTGAGGGGTGATAGTGTTTCGGAGGCCATTATTTGTGAGAAAGCCAGGGTGTTGCACGAAGACCTTCTAAAGAATACCCCTGCAACGAGTGATGCAGAAACGAAAGAGTTTAAGGCAAGCAGGGGCTGGTTTGAAAAATTTAGAAAGAGAAGTGGTATCCATAGTGTTACAAGGCATGGGGATGCAGCCAGCTCAGACAAACCAGCTGCTGGACGATTTATTGACGAATTTAAAGAGTTTGTAGAGGCTGAGGGATACCTACCGCAACAAGTGTTTAATTGTGACGAAACAGGACTGTTTTGGAAAAGAATGCCTAAGAGGACATACATTACCAAGGAGGAAAAATCCTTGCCTGGACACAAGCCTATGAAAGATAGGTTTACGCTTGTGCTGTGTGGAAATGCGAGTGGCGATTTGAAAATTAAACCCTTGCTAGTGTATCATTCTGAAAATCCAAGGGTTTTCAAACAGTATAAAGTGCAGAAAACCCATTTGTGTGTGATGTGGAAGTCTAATAAAAAAGCATGGGTGACTAGGCTTCTTTTTTCGGAGTGGGTGAATGAAGTGCTGTGCCCTGCCATAGAAAAATATCTGCAGGAGAAACAATTGCCACTCAAAGCCGTGCTTCTCCTTGACAATGCTCCTGCTCATCCTCCAGGCTTGGAAGATGATTTGTTGCCTAGATACAATAAATTCCTCACAGTTAAATTCCTTCCTCCTAACACCACTCCTCTAATTCAGCCTATGGACCAGAAAATCATAGCGAATTTTAAGAAACTTTATGAAAGGGCACTTTTCCGGAAATGTTTTGAAGTGACTGAAGCCACAAACCTCACCCTCAAAGAGTTCTGGAGAGAGCATTTTAACATTTGTAGTGCTTTAAAACTCGTTGACAAAGCCTGGCAAGAAGTGACTCAAAGAACCCTGATCTCTGGCTGGAGAAAATTGTGGCCTGAATGTGTGAGAGAACTAGACTTTGAGGGGTTTGAGCCTATAAGTGATGCGCCTATTGTTGAGGAAATTGTTAGTCTAGGCCAGCAAATGGGCTTGGAATTGGATGGTGATGATGTGGAGGAGTTGGTGGAAGAACACAACGAAGAACTGACCACCGAAGAACTCCTAGCCCTTCAACAGGAACAGCAAGCCAACGCAGCAGCGAATGATTCTGCAGTGGAGGAGGAGGTGGCAGCAGCACCAGCGAATGTCCCTTCTGCAGTAATTAAGGTGTGTCAGATGTGGGAAGAGATTCAAACAACTGTTGAACAGACTCACCCAGAGAAAGCTGTAGTAGGCCGTTGTCTTAATCTTTTCAATGACAATGTGATGCCTTACTACAGAGAGAGCTTGCGAAGAAGGGAAAAGCAAGCTTCCATGGACAGATTTGTGGTGAGGAAATCGAGCAGTGAGCCTCAACCAGGACCTAGTGGCACTCAGGTAAAACGTCCCAGGGAGAGCACACCAGAAAGGTCCTCACTGCCTGATGTGATTATGGAAGGGGACTCCCCTTCCAAACAGTAACTCCTCTCCTCCTCCCCCCTC